ATTGACCACCATTATAAACCTGGAAGAAGTGGATGGTCGTTCCGTCCTACTATGGGACTCTTCAAGAGTGCACATTCACTATCTTGTACCAAAGGGGCTCGAACACAGGACCTTCGGTCTGGAGTGCGAACGCCTAACCTCTAGCACACTAGGCAGACATTCAATGGTATTAATGTCTAACTTAAACCAATCCACGATATTATGCGACTATCTTCAATTGTTTTCGGTGGGTAACTGTCTCACACTCGACACGGATTAGCTTCGCTGGTCACAGTTTCGCACTAGGTTTACGAGATTTATCTCTCAAAGTTAGTTACTAGGTATAAACATCGATTATGCAACCAAACAGTGAATATAACTTGATGTTTATATTAAAAATACGATAGATATCTACTCCAAATGCAAATTATCTGCAAGACTACTTGATGTAACATAATAGAGTGTTAGATAGTATTCTCCCACTCTAATTTCTTATTTTAAACTTCAACCCTTAGGTGATATTAGGTGATATCAGTATGTGATGTAGATTTTTACCTTAATTCAGAATACTAGCCCAACTCCTAATGCAAAAACTTGACTGTTTTTCCATTACTATAATAACTAATCTCATATGAAAGTGTTATGTATATCGAAACTATTTATCTTGTAATTTCATTGTTTGTTTTTTTACAGCAAATTGTTTTATAACTATGCACTGTTTATCGATTGGCTAATTGGTCTCTCAAGGTCGACAGTTTTGTATACTTTTACTGAATCGTTTTTTTAAAAAAGGAGGGTCATATTGTAAACTTTTTACTAGATACGCTAGCTGGGCGATAAAGTGTTTTGATAACTTTCGGAAAAATAATTTAGGAGTATATTTATGAAATATGTAGGGTTATTTAGGTAGATGAAATATTGAAAAAAATGGCTTTTTCGTAGTTGAAATCATGAGCTAATTGAAGCTAGACCATCATGGAAAACCTTGAAGCACTGGACAGTCGTTTCGTCCTATTATGGGACTCTTTTTGTCAAGTGAATCAAATGTTTCAGTGTAAACCATAATAAATCCAAGAGTGATTCATTGACAAGATGAATGCTAACTTATTGTGCTAATGAATAAATTAAACGTTGGTGATATTTCGTGCTATTAAATAAATGGCTAGCCGTGTGGATGATCTGTGATGAACTTCATTCTGTAAATTGCTTGTGAACGCTGCTCAAGCAGAATATTTCTGGTTAAGGAAATTAGAAATCTCCACAAAACTCCTTCTTATTATAATCATATGCTCACTAGTGACTTCGAGAAGTATATCTAGGAGCTCTAGTGAGAAGCAGTGCTCAGTGGAGTTCAACAACGTCTGTTGTGAGATAACACCTCACTGAAGACAATTAGTGAACGGTTGCTCAAAATCGTGGATCAGTTGAAGTTAGACGTCAACACTGTTGGATGCCGGCTCACTGGTCTAGAGGTTAATTGCTCGCGCGCGAGACTGGTTGGTCCTGAGTTTGAATCTCGCGAGGCGGGATCGTAGATGCGCACTACTGAAGAGTCCCACAATAGGACGATTTGGCCGTCCAATGCTTCCAGGTTTTCCATGGCGGTCGAGCTTCAATTGACTCATGATTTCAACTATAAAGAAATTAGAATAGCACAGATATAAGTAAACAATATTGTTTTCAATTAGATCATTATTAAGTTTAACTCTACTAAACATGAATATTTATGTATGTATATGAAAATATTGAACCAATCACGGAAATATTTGAGTCGAGGATTAGATCGCATAACTACACATAATAGGTAAAGGGTACAAACTCATGATAAGAAGACAGGTGTCTACTGATAGTGACAACAATAATAAAAATTCTAGTCAATAGTTCAACATGGGATGTAGTTCAAATTTGGGCTTAAAAAATAATAATCACAAAAATAGGTGATAGCTAACAGTGTAGTGCGGGACGAGCCTTTCGCCCTATCTGAGACTCGTCAACCGTATGCACCTGTATCCCAGAGTTGACACTTACCCCACGAGTAAAACTCAATACTGTTCGTCTCATGCGCAATCTTGTAATCCACTTAGTTGCAGAGTTCAGATGGCCACCAGGTTGTGCAATCGGCTGAAGTTTTAATTCATTTTTGTATTGTTTGTTTGAATCTTCGCACTGATGTTTATGACCGCAAATGATCGGTCTCATATTGACCCATGTGCATCCGTCTCTGCTTATAATGCTTGTGACATAAGATAACATCGAGGCAATCCGTACAGGATGCACATATGCCAATAAGTGACTGATCACTTTCAGTCCTAAACATCAATGGGAGGACTCAACCAACAAATACAAAAATGAATGATCGCATTACGTAATAAGAAGTGTGTTAATAATTAGTTATTGAGGAATGTGAACAGAAAGAGGTGAAAAGTAACAAATAAGTACAGGATGTGAGAAGAATTAGTAAAATCGTTTATTATGTCATATACGTCCAAGGAATGGACAAGGCTGTCACAAATTTATTTTTAACACATAAACTAGGGTTATAATGGGTTCGGATCCTTAAAGCCTCTGGTATAAGCAGGAGACGGAACTGAACTCCATTCGTAAATGATGAAGGTATACGATAGATCACTCAAAATGATTGTGTTTTGTCTACCATATTATCACTGTCAACCAGGTGTGGAAAGAAAGACCTCCAGATAGTTTTTATCGGGCTCATTCCAAACCTAGCTGGTATATGCTCGTTCATCTTTGGTCAAGTTAACTGGTAGTACGTCCGGTATAGCTATCTCTGATGAAGTGACTGAGTTTGTGAATGAAAATTGAGGAGATGAACTCAGGTAACTTACCCTATGTTTGAGTAGATTCTTCTGGTCTACTATAAAATAAAAGCGCAAGATTACCAGAGTAGAATGTCCTATAAGCTGCTTCTAATAATGTGGAAGATTGTTTCAAATGTTAATGATAGTGAAGGGCTGGAATTTTGAGAAAATGATGACTTTTCATGCAATTAACTTACCATGATCTTAGTAAATGATAACAATATACTGACCATTGACTGGTTTCGAGATGAATTTGCCAACGATCCAGAGGGAAACTGTAGACAGATTAAGACAGTATTGAAAGGTCTGGATTTAATTTTTGTGTTAGTTGGTGACGATGCACTCATGAAGAATCGCAAATTAGAATAAAACGATTATATAGTACTTCGTGATCGAAATTTTCTTCAGTTGTGAATCTTACTCTAACCGGCACGATAATAACAACTAAATAATATTTTCTTATTTTTTTAAGTAATTGATTAATTTCATAAGAGGTTATAAGTAATCATCAGTATGAAGTACTAGATTACCAGAAACCCATTGGGATTAAGTGACTTTCATGAGTTTTTAAAATGATAGACAAATCTAGTGTTAATCATATTTAATTTTATTATGAAATTTCCAGTATAAAATAATATAGAGTTCGTTATAATATAGAAATATTACGTATAAGATATATCGTTAAATCCTTTCTGATATTCGTCAACGAATTTCCTGGTACGGCATTGTAATTATTACCATTTTTGGTAAACCATGTACAGATTTGCAACTGTACAGATTTGAGAATAAATTCGCTGAAAACAGAACTATTCACTGAACCAATTTTTTTTGTTTTAAGTTGATAATCATTCATGTAAACTACCAAAACTTCTTAGGCTAATTTGACTTTTTGTCAAATCAAATCAGATCATTTATAAACATAATGTATTACGTGAATGTAAGTTTTGATCACATGATTATAACAAATTGTAATACATAGGATACAATTAAAAATATTTCACAAAACAAGAACCCAAATACCTACGTGAACCTTTTTTTTTGTTAATATTTCATATAAATGTTCAAAGTATTACTTTGATTTACTATGTTAAGTTAGATAGTTCGAAGAAAAATGATGTTTGTAATAACAGTTATCAGCAAAAACTTACATAATTCAAATTAATATAATGGTTGGATTTATGAGTTGATTAAAGCTAGACCACCATGCAAAACCTGGAAGTACTAGATGGCCGTTTCATCCTAGTACGGCACTCCATAGAAGTGTGCATCCTCGATCCCTCAGACTGGAGATTCGGACCCAGAACCTTAAGTCTCGCGCGCAAACACTCAACCTCCAGATCACTGGTTGATAGTCCGACGGTGTTAATGTCTGACTTCAATCAATCCATGATATTGCGTCACCGTTTCTGTTATCAGGCAGTTACTCACTGAAAACAATAGTGGACGATGGTGTGATATCGTGTTGATGTTAGACATTAAAATCGTCAGACGCCAGGTCAGTAATCAAAGTGTTAAACATTCACGAACGAAGGACCTGAGTTCGAGTCCCGCGTGAGGGATCATGGATACACACCACTGAGGTTTCCCATACTAGAACGAAACAGCCGTCTAGTGATTCTAGGTATTCCATGGTGATCTAGCTTTAATCAATTCATGAATTCAACTATTAAATTACTACAATCTCCACAAAACCTCTATTCAATTTGAATATATATATGGATAGAGTGATAGATAGATAGATTGATGAGTGGAACGATGGATAGATATTCTTTCTCATTGAAAACAAACTCAGGGAAATCAACTGTTATCAATAATCCTAAACTTGTAGAGATATCAATCCACTGAAAACAATTGGTGGATGGTTGCACAAAATCGTGAATTGGTTGAAGATATACATTAGCACCGTTGGATACCGGCTCAGTAGTCTATTGGTTAAGTGCTCTAGTGCGAGACTGGTAGGTCCTGGGTTCGAATCTCGCGAGTGCGGGATCGTGGATGCACACTGCTGAGGAGCCCCATAATAGAACGAAACGGCCATCCAGTTCTTCCAGATTTCCTTAGTGATCTAGCTTCAATTGACTCATGATTTGAACTATGAAAATACTGAATTCTCGACAAAACCCTTTCTGATTTTACATAGTAGTTGAATGATAATTTGGTAAAACTCCAGTTAATTTAATCAATGTTCATTCTATAATGTAAATGATACTGATTACATTGGATAATTCTGGCATCATTGCTGATTTGTTTGTCAATATTGTTGTTATTACTATTACTACTACTACTACTACTACTACTACTACTACTACTACTACTACTACTACTACTACTACTACTACTACTACTACTACTACTACTACTACTACTACTACTACTACTACTACTACTACTACTACTACTACTACTACTACTACTACTACTACTACTACTACTACTACTACTACTACTACTACTACTACTACTACTACTACTACTACTACTACTACTACTACTACTACTACTACTACTACTACTACTACTACTACTATTAACACAAAGTCCATGTAATTACTCTTGTTAATAATCATGTTCATGATAATGATTAGCTTTATATATTCAAGCATTAGCTTAGATTATTATTATTATTTCCTTTTATAAATCCTATTCCCTTCTCTTATACTCTAGTACAAATAGTTACATGTTCTGTTTCTACAAATTAGTAACATTTTTCTTTATCTTGTCTTATGTACCGAATTATGCAGAAAAATTGTTACTTATTACTGTTGCTAACGATTAAACAAAAAAAAACTTATAGGTGTGTGTGTGTGTGTGTACGTGTATTCATTGAACAATGAGGACATAACATAGAAAGATAACTGAATTTAATGAATTCATTTCATATTATTCACATTAAAATGTATGTCAATTCATTTTTGGCTTTTATTACTAGTAATTTTTTCTTTTTTCTCTTTTCTTTTTTTCTTTTTCTTTTTTCTTTTTAATTTTTCACTTTTAAAACTCTACTGATAATTAAATTCATACTTTTAATTTTTATTTTATAGAAAATAATCAATATTTTTTGTCTCTTTTAAATAAAATAAATAAAAGAAAAAAGTTTTTTTAGAAAATAGTTTTTTTTTAAAAAAAAAAGATTTAATGGTTCAAGGTCAACCAAAGAAGTTAAAATTTTAAAGTCATTTAAACAATAAATCTATTGAATATATAATAAAATCTATCAATTAAACTGAATTTTATAAAATTCCTTTAAATAAATTATAATAATCAATCTATTAGTTAGCAGCTAAATGCCCTGGTACGGCCGAAGGTGGGAAGGGCCTGTCCTCTCTCTCTCTCTCTCTCTCGAAATGCTCTTACATAGTCAAGCGTATATAGCCTCTGCTAGGGAAGTCCTACTCATTGCCTTCTCACACCAGGGGTGTTATTTACGAAATTGAGTGGACCAAAAGCGAATGTCCGGAGATTTAACCAGGTTGGTGGACACGAGATGTCCACCTAGGGAAGTTGGAAAACTCTCATTCCAAACGAGTGGTGCACATGGGCTGCAGTATCCTGAGGAAGCAAATGGCATATGAATCAATCGTTGATCACCGGCTACCATGGGAATGCGTCTCCTCACGATGCTCCACTGCCTTGTGGATCAGACCTTTAGATCAAATGCTTAGGGTGTGGCTCCCCAAGGAAACCACCTGCTTCAGTTTGGGCACCTGGTTAGTATCATAGCCCTCACACAATTAAATGAAATGACAATTTTTTGTGTGGCGCATAAAAATGTGATGCCCTCTTGTATCATTATTTATGTGTTCAAATAAATAAAATTTAAAAAAACCTATAAGATCATCCTGAAATCTTTTTTAGAAGCCATAATGATTGATGGAATTTAGATAATATCAAGATTGAAGCAATTTTACCTAATGATAATGGATTTTTTTCGTTTTATATTACATATTGATTGAAATTAGATATTTGTACTATTGAAAGCTAACCTAATAGCTTTAATTGTTAACTATTTTATATATGATATAAAGGTTTTATATTCAATCCCAGAATGGGGAGGGGATCATGAGCACACAATTTTAGAGAGTTCTAGATTAGGTCAAAAGAGTAATATAATACTTTCTGTTTGGTTCACATTATTAAACATAGTTTCATATTTATGAATTCTGATGTGATTTATAAATAGGTAAGTGAAAAATTCAAACTAACCGGCAATTCTCAAGTGATAAGATGGTGGTTGGAGGTAGTCGACAGGAAACCCTGAGCCTAGGTTCCGTGCTACTTGGAACTTGTCAGCATAGTGTATCTGTAATCTTCAGGTAACTGATGCTCCCTGATGGATTTGATCTCCTGTCATCCAGCTTCACAGTCAGAGACGTTATCATGCAGCTTTCTGTGCCGCGAATGGCCTCCTGTAGGACTGAGATGTAGGTCGAATCCTATCAATCAAGTTCAGGGCTTCTTGTTAACTACCTCCAACCACCATCTTATCCCAATATAGTGCACGCAATTTCACGTCACCTAGACTGGTAGTCACTTTGCAACTTGATCGATAGGATTTAATCTGCTCTAAGAAAGACTTGACATACATGACAGTGATCACCACCCAGTGATCAATCAATTGTAAATAGGGAAGTGATACTTTTATAAACTTATGATGGTTTCCATATTTTAGAGAAAAGAAAATGAAATCAAAATTAAAGTTTAACCATACGAATATTAGCTTAGTTTTTCGTCATTTTTAACTGAAATTTGATGAGTATTAGTTGGCATATATACATCCCGTGCAAATGGTTTCGATATAACCATTATGATATAAGTTCATATAAAATAGATGAAATGTGGTTAGCAGTGGAATCCAGAATTTGTGTCACAATGGCTATATCATGACAAATCTCGTAGGATGCCCATATCTCAACCAAGGTTGTTCAAATTCCAACCAGAAATATCAACAACGGGATAATTTGAATAATTTTGAATTGAATCAAAACTCTCACCAACTGAACAATTGATTCAATTTCTGAGTTCAATAAATCAGTGGATAACTTGATGATGTTTGAAGCAGATAGTACTGGGTTCGAATTTTAGAGAGTAAACATTAATTATGTGATTCTAGTACATCCAGCTGACGAGTCCCAAATAAGACGAAACGCGCGTCAAACTGGATATCATTGCTAGCCACTATCCATCTTTGCTTATAATGCTTGTGAATTAAGACAATATCGAGGCAATACGCATAGGATGCATATATGCCAATAAGAGACTAACCAATTGCAGTCCTAAGCGTCAATGAGAAGATTCAAACATACAATACTAAATGAATTTAAACTTCACCCCATCGCACAAGCAAGTGGCTATCAGGACTCAGTGGCCAAGTGGATAACGTGATGGCGTTTGAAGCGAAAATTACTGGTTTCGAGTCCCAGAGTGAACATCAACTCTGAGATGCAGGCACATCCAACTGACCAGTCTCGAATAGGTCATAACGCGCGTTAAACTGGATTCCACTGCTAGCTACTATCCATCTTTGCTTATGTGTATTTCAAATTATCAGAAATAGGGATATAAAACTTTTTGGAAGAAAAAAATTTACAAATTTGTATCAGAATGGATCAATGTTCAATTTTTTTTAATTTTTCTATCTTCAACTGGTATAATAAAAGAATAAAATAACGAAGGATTTTTTTAATAATTAAACCGATTGCATTCACTAACATTCTTTTCTCTACTCCATATTTTACTATAAAGAAGAACAACGATGATGAAACCAGTTTATTTTAATCAAATTGGAAAGGAAGATAAATAAAATCTGGTGTATTGATTTTTTCCCCTTCACTGTGCTACCTAATTTTTCCTTTCATTCTCTTTCTCTCTTAATCTACCAATTACATATACATTCTCTTTAAATGTCAAATAGAATAAAATAGGAAAATTGATTCACATGTAATAAACTGATAAGAAAAACAAGCTAATAAGTTTGAGGATTAAATCTATTTAAATTATTTATTAAGATCAGAAAGGGTATTTTTTGTGGAAATTTTAGTAATTTTATAGTTGAAATCATGAAGCTAGACCACCATGGAAAGCCTGTAAGCATTGGATGACCGTTTCGTTTTATTGTGGAACTCCTCAGCAGTGTACATCCGTCAAGTGCTTTCAGGTTTTCCACGGTTGTTTAGCTTCGATTGACTCATGATTTTAACTATAAAATTACTAAAATCTCCACAAAAAACCGTTTCTCATAATAATCAACATATGCTCACTAATGATTGGCTTTAAGAGATATTTCCTGGAGTTCTAGTAAGAAGCAGTGACCAGTGGAGTTTAACCAGGTCTGTTGAGAGATATCAACTCACTAAAGACAATAGTGGACGGTTGCTCGATTTCGTGGATTGGTTGAAGTTAGACATTAACACCGTTGCATACTGGCTCAGTGGTTCTAGAGGTTAGGCGCTCGCGCGCTAGACTGATAGGTCCTGAGTTTGAATCTCGCGAGGTGGAATCGTGGATGCGCACTGCTGAGGAGTCCCACAGTAGGACGAAATGGCCGTTCAGTGCTTCTAGGTTTTCCATAGTGATCTAGCTTCAATCGACTAATTATTTCAACTATAAATAATTTATTATGATCTAAAAGGTAAGTGATTCGTTTTAACTACATAAATTTTCCTATATTTAACAAGAGTAAGGATTTTACAATGAGTGAAATAGATGAATCTTAAACCACAATCATAAATTTGTCAGGGTTAATTTGATAAACGTGCGTCATTCTAATTTAGAAAGATAGATAGCAAGAAATATCGAAACTCAGCTGAAAGGATTTTGTGCAGACTGGTTTATTTTTGCAAGTTGTATTCCTTAGAGATTGATTTTAGTTGGTATATCGTTGAAATCTGAGTAGCACTGAATTGTTGTTATATCCTAGTACGAGATTCCTAAGCAATGGCCATCTACAACGTTAACCCGGGAATTAAGTCCAGAACATTCAGTCCTCACGGTGAACGCTTAACCATTAGGAGCTCTGAGTCAGCGTCCATTGGTACGATTTTAACTTCATTGAATTTGTTTTGTAGCCTTACGATCATGCAACGCAACTGGGGATGACTATTTAACTTCCAATATGTTAAAATCCCACCCATCATGATTTCTCACAAGAACATAAAGTGAATCTGTTCACTTATTTTGAAAGTAGCTTGCCTGTTGGTATTCGATCAGAAACCAGAATAGTAAATGATAGCTTTCATTAAACAACTTTACAGGTATTTCATCTTATACACCAACACACGCATGTGAATAGGTATCGACAAATTGTTGTTTTTCGAACATGAAGAGATAAATGATCCATAGATAGTCTACTTTTGAATGATAACAACAAGTTTTCTTTTAATCTCCCTAAAATGTATTTTATAAATATCACAGTTTTGTCTTGTTTTTATTTACACATTTTATGAAAATGTTTTTTTTCTTAACGGTTCGAAAATATTTATTGAATCCACAATCTTAACAAACTCAAATAGGACGGAACGAGAGTCTTGGATTCCACTGTTAGCCACCAT